ATGAGACCTAGCAGCTCGCATTTTGGGAAAATATATAATTAGTTTCTTTATCGGCATCCCTCACCCAGAAATATAGTAGCCCACAGATGAAAAAAGTGCATGATTTAGACAATGGAATAACAAAACTATGTATCATCAGGTTTGCCATACTACAAGAAGTCCAAAAAAGAGTTAAGAACAGATAGTTTCAATTTCTCGAGATCCAATGTCCCTCCACCTCGTAGATCAGTAACCGGATTAGCAAGTAAATAGTTGTGAGGTTTGAATTTGATATGAGCACTCAAAGCATCTCCTAAAATTAAACCAAACATCGTACCCTTAATACGATTTAGAATGTGCCCATCAATATTTCCCGAAGGTTCAGTGAGGTTTGATTCGCATTCGTTGGGTTTGATAATTGTTGTACCTTCTGGATCTTTAAATCGGCATTCTAGACAAATTTTATCTATATAGAAATAAAAGCCAATCGCATCATGTTTTTGAATATTCCATTCAATGGAATTTAAAACAATCCAAGAGTTCAGATGATTATGAAAAGTAATTATAAAATATCACTCAATATTAGAGACAGCACATTTGTTTTATATTTACTTTTAGTGTTAAAGGATTTTCATAGTTGTTTCTCTCGTTAAATGAAATATTTGATGTCTAAATTTTAGACCTTGAGCTCAATTCAGTGGCGTACGCAGGGGGGGGGGGCCGAGGGGGCCCGGGCCCCCCCCTTGAGATTTATTAAATGGGCTTAGTATCACAACAGCTTCAATGTTGGTAACAGAGCTGTTGCAGACATTATATGCTTTCGTTATTATAACTTAGAATGATCTGTGTATCAATTATAAAATGTATTAATTCGTCAGTCATCTTATTTCGTTTTATTCAGAAACAACAGTAAAGCATTCGACCTATAGTTAGGTCATTTTCAACACAAATGATAGAGAGTGAAAATATGAAGAAAATTGCTCTTTTCTTTTCTTTTGTTCTGTTTTGCCTATTGATAAACATTGCAATGCGACGAGAATATTATTTCCTCCTTGTATTGCGATGTTTATCAATAGTCAAAACAGAACAAAAGAAAAGAAAAGAAAAGAGCAATTTTATACATATTTTCACTCTCTATCATTTGTATTGAAAATGACCTAACGTATAGGTGGGATGCTTCACTCTTGTTTCTGACTAAAACGAAATAAAATGATTGAGGAATCAATATATTTTACAATTAGTTTATTTTCTTATATCTCCACGTCGAATAATATTAAAAAAAAGGTCTGTGTATTGTAATTTGTTTTTACTTAATCGTATTGAATTGTCATGATAGTGTTACGTGACTCTTAGAATTTACTTTTGTACGAAACTAGTTATATTGGAACCTTTTATGTAAGATGAGCCGGCAACTGAATTTGAAAGAATCGTTTGCAAATGCAAACAAGAGAAGACGTTATTCTAATGAAGATATTGCATCCTCAACGTTATCATCATCACCACCAGTTTGCTCAACCACATCATCGTCTACAGAAGTCTTGCTATCCATTTCACTGACATCAACACCATCATTCTTATCACAATCAATTTCATCACCAACGGAACCAATAACGCCGCCGATATTTCAGTTACAGACAACAGTCTCTGTTTCTTCTCCATCAAAAGATTCTGAACTCTCTGTTGTCGATGAACAGAATCGTACTCCAACTGTTTTTCAAAGTCTCTCATCAAACAGTATAATTTCAACTGCATCATGTATCGATATGTATGATCCGAATGATATTGGTAAGTTGTTTACTAGATACACTTTTTTCCTATAAAAATGAATAATGGGAAATCAACCAGTACATTTATCATGTATTGATTTTTAAGGTAATTTTATTGATGGATCGGTTACTGAACAAGATAATACTCGAATCTATGATGTACTTAAAAAACCTTGGACTCCACCACTCTTCTACAAGTTTCCGAAAGTCGACCATAAAGGACATTCTCGATCGGTATGCGTTTCCAAATGGCTCATTGACTTTCCTTGGCTTTCGTACTCGGCCAAGCTCAAAGATGTTCTATGCCGATACTGTGTTCTCTTTCAACGCAAATCGTCTCACGCCGATCGAGCTAACAATCAACTTGGTCAACTAGTGGCCAAGCCCCTTTCTGGTTCGTTTTTGAAAGAAGCCACGACTACTTTAAAGGCTCATGAACAAACACGGTACCATCAATATTCTACAACTCAAGCCAATGAATTTATTACTCGTCATATAAATCCGAACTTGGATGTCGATTTTTTGTTAAATGTTACTGATCAGCATCAACAAAATGAATATAAGAAGATTTTATTTAGTATCGTGAAATGTATTTTATTTTTAGCTGGTCAAAATTTAGCATTACGTGGGCATTCAGATGATGGATTACCGTGTGATACGAATCTGCATCAAGGAAATTTTAAAAACCTAATCGCATTTCGTGCCGAAGCGGGAGACACCATTCTTGCCAAGCATCTCCAGTCATGTGCTAGGAATGCAAGTTACTTAAGTCCTCGGATACAAAATGAACTGATCGTACTCTCGGCTCATGTTGTACGCACTAAACTTATTCGTGAACTCATCGATAAACGACTCTTCTATTCCATCATGGCTGATGAAACGTCTGATCTATCCGGTCATCAGCAACTTTCTATATCCGTTCGTTATGTTTCATCTGAACCTGACGAAAGTGGTGAATTTATTCATGAAGTGTTTTTGGGTTTTATTCATTTGGAAAACCTCACTGCTGTTGGAGTGGCTAGCACAATATGTGATTTCTTGAAGAATATTGGTCTTAGCATTGATCTGATTAGAGGTAATATTCTAGCCAAAAACTTTTTCTCACTCAACGATGAAATTCTGCACACAATTGATCAATCTCACATTTTGAGGTGTTCTGGGAAAACGAAATAATATAATGATTATTTAGGAGTTTTACTGATGTTTTTTTTTCTTAGGCCAAGGATATGACGGCGCCAACGTAATGGCTGGTCGATTAGGTGGGGTGCAGAAATTGATTGCCGCCCAATCACCAAGAGCAATCTATATTCATTGTTCTAACCATTGCTTAGATCTTGTGCTAAGAAATTCATGTGATCATTCGGATGTAAAATCTTTGTTTGGGACCATCAAAATGATAACCAAGTTCGTCAATGATTCTCCGAAACGGAAGACTATGTTTAAAGCAGCAGTAGAAGCAACAGTTGGCAAACAGAATCATCAACATCACCATACACTCATCAGAATGTGTGAGACACGGTGAGTATCTAGAAAATTGGTCTGTATCTAAAATTCGATCTGATTTTCTTTAAAATATAGTTGGATCGAGAAACAATCCGCTATTATTATATTCAGACAACTGTTTGGTTCTATTCTAATTGTTCTCGAGTACTTATCTATTCATGGTGATAGTGAAACATCAGCTCTTTCTGGTGCATATCACAAATCAATCTCATCGGACATTGAGTTTATTACGTCACTTATCGTTGTTTCTCGTGTCTTCGCCCTTACGAAACCATATACTGAAAGTCTACAATCACCAACATGTGAACTCGTACAATGCTACGACAAGATCGAAGAATTGGCATTGTATTTAATTGAACTCTTGAATGATGATCATATGGATAAATTACACGACGATTTAATTCAATTTGCTGCTCAACATGATATTCCATTTGTACTTTCGCGTCGAAAGAAAATAACACCACGTACATTCTTCGAATCAATTCATCAAGCTTTTATTTCAAGCACAATCGATGAATTGGGTCCACGATTTTCTACACATCAGAAGCTTGCCGTAAAAATCTCCAAATTAATGCCTGTTCATGTTAAGGAAGTCGATTTCGCTGATATGAAGGATACATTCGAATTTTACAAGGAAGATCTGCTGTCGGACAACTTTGTTGTGCTCGAAAGTGAGTTTGAGATGTGGCGAAACATGTGGCGAAAACGT